GGGTGTCTTGAAATTCGTTCGGGGGTGCCTTTTGGAAGCTTCCTGGTGGCCTCTTATAGGACTCTTTGAATGCGCCCTGGAAGCTCCTCGGGAACTTGACGGCGATGCGCGCGCGCGCGCGCATGCGCGCATGCGCGCGCACGCGCACGCGCACGCGCGCCCGCGCGCACGCATGCACGCGCGCACACGCGCACACACCCGCATAGACCCATACAAAATCAGACACACACAACACGCAACACACACACACCACACCCTAGCACACACAACACGCAACACACAACGCACGCAACACACAACACACAACACAACATACACACACACAACGCACACACACACATTCACCACATGACGCTCGCACACAACGCACAACACACAACGCACAACACAACGCACACGCGCGCGGAAGCGCACGCACGCCACGACATGCCAGCAGCGCAGACCAACGCGACGGACAATTCGTTGCGAACGCAATGGGCAAACGCGACGCTCTTCTTGTCCAGTCAGGCATGATTGACATGGCCGTTCCGTCCGAGGCGCCCTCCACGCATTGGCCTTGCAGGGCACTTTGAACCATTGTCTTCTCGGAGTCGTTCCTGCCGGACTTCCAAACGGTTTGGCAAATTACGTCGGCGCCCCGAAAGTTGATTCCGATTTGTGAGGCGCGGCGCCGCGCGAGTGCAGCGCAAACGCAATGCTGGAAGGGCGCGACAACGCATGCCCCCTGGACACGCGAGAGCCGCCGCGCCCCCGCGCGAACCCCGATCCCGCGCGGGGCGCGCCCCCGTTGACAATGGCTCACCCAGGGCACAGTTTCTTGCGCAGGAAGTCCTGAGCGGTCTGCCCATCGGCGGCTCCTTAGGACGAGGCCCGGAACCACCGAGAAACCGTTTTTGATAGGAAGTTCTGGCCGGTTTGCCAACGCTCGGTTTCTTCGGAGCGGCCTCGAAGACCTCGGGGTCCTAAGCGGTGTGCCAATTTTCGGGCTCGATTTTTTTTGTATTCCAAGTCCTATGGGATTTGGCCACTTTCAGGTCGGCCGATAAACTTTCGGGTCGGCGCATGACCGAACCCGAAAGCTTCTTTCGAGGAGGTCCCATGCTGTTTGCTCATTTTCGGGACAGTACACCGTCTGGGATTGAAAATTTTTAATTGGGAAGGGGAACCCGATCCCGCGATCCCGGGCGGGGGTTAGGCTCTGCCCTTGCATTGTGCTGGGCCCCTCCGGCCAAACGAGGCGCTGGGCTGCCTGCCCATCGGCGCGCCGACTCTGCCCTCGCGACATCGCCGCCGTCCGCCCTCGGGCCCCGCGGGTCTTGTCCCGCGCGCGCCGCCCCAGATGGCCGCGGCCGGCACGGTGGCGAAATTGGGGGAACTTTCGGATCGGCGCTGTATTCGAACCAGAGATCCCCGCATGTGCATCCCATGCCCGTGTCTCGTTTCGCTGCAGGGCCGCGTCTATCAGTGCCTGCGTTTGAGAGCGAGAGTTCGCGTTGACGACAGGCGCGGCAATGGCGCCGGCAGCGACGACTTCAGCGGCGCCCCCCTCGTCTCCTGGACATGTTTCAGGAGAGACCAGGGAGGCGCAAGTGGAAGGGCGGGGGGGGCCCTCTCGCCTCTCCCCCCGCAGTAACTCAGGCAAGCGCGCATGTTTTTTCTTGCGCCCGCTAAGCGTGGCTGATATGGGCGCGAACGAGTCGGAGTGTGAGTGGACGCGGGTGCGATGGAGCCTGAGTGTGATAGCCAGTTTGAGTACATGTGGGCTTGACCATGGGTCAGTCTGATTGCGAGCGAGTCGATGTGCGAGGGGAACGAGGCTGTGCGTGGGCGAGTTTAATTTTCAATGTGACGACTACAAACCTGAGTGTGAGTGTGCCTGGGTGCGAAGTAGTCTGAGTATGCATGAGTCTAAGCGTAGCGAACCAAAGTCTGACCGAGTTTGCGCGTGCTGCGTCTGCGTTTGAGTGATTATGATTGCGTTCTCGTATGGCTGCGAATGCGCCTGAGTGTGAGCGAGTTAGAGTACGAATGGCTTTGAGTGCGAGCTGGTATGGGCGCGCGTGGGTCTGAATTTTAGCGACTTTGAGCATGGGCGAGTAAGTATGCGTGTGTCTGGGTACGCCCGGTTCTGAGTACGAGTGTTTTTTTTATGCGCCGGATGAATCTGTGCGCGGGACGGGCGGTGCAGAGCAAGTGGGCTTTTGGGAAATGAAGTGCGTGCTTGAGTGAGGATACCACAAGTCCGAACAAAAGTGTGGGGGGCAGGGGGTAGCGAACCGCCTGAGATCCCCCCCCCCCCATTTGAGCGCGAATTCTGAGGTGTCCCCACCCCTGGCGGCTCCGCTTTGGAGTGTTCGAGTGCTCGAGTGCCACGTCTGCTATATCGCGGTGATCAGTGGACTACCCGAAGGGAAATGTCAAATGGGGCAAAAACAGGCCACCCGCGTGACAAATTCTGACACTTCGCTTTGAATGCAGAGCGTGTAAGGCGCGCGAACTGAGAACCCGCTTGAGACACCACCCCCTTCCTCTTGGTCATAAATCTTGAAGTCCCCCCCCCCTTTGGTGCCCCCCACCCCCCGCAGAAATGCTAAAACCAACGTCTCGCCTGAGACATCCTGAGAATCTGTTACGACGCCAGAGGATGCTGGGCACGCGAACGCGCAAACCGCATGAGACATCCCCACATATTGGGGCGCGATGTCAGGAGTATCCCCACCCCCGGCGCCCCTTCTTTGGGGTGCCCAAGTGCTGCGCCTGATGTTTCGCGGTCAGCAGTGGACCACCTTCGACTACGAGCGAGTCTGAGTCTGACTATGAGAGGAGTATGATTGTGAGTTCGCCTGGGTGTGGTTGAGTCCGAAAAGGAACGAGTCTAAGTGTGTGTGGGTGTGGGTGTGTCTGCGCGTGCTGAATCCAAATATGTGTGAGTATGAGTGTGCGTTGCCTTGATTCTGAATGAATTTGAGTTTGATAAGTCAAAGTACGACTGGGTCTGAGTGTACGTGCGTGTGGGTCTGGGTGTGCGTGAGCACGAGTGACTTTGAGGACGTGAGTGGGTGAGTCGCTCTGGATGAGGGAGGCGAGTCCTAGGAGGGGGAGGTGCGGAGGAGGAGTTTTTTTTGTCGGAGCCGTCTAAGTGATAACAAGAACCCATCCTAGGAAATGGGGAGCAATCAGCCGGCTCATCAAAGGAACGCCTGGATAAACAGCCGCAGATACTCAAAGTGCGCCGAAGGGCGCCCCAGCAAGCCCTCAAGACGCCCATGAAAATGTCAAACTCGCTGCCAATAGCCCCCACACGGCCCAAGAAGGCTTCGCGACAGCTGTAAAGACAGCCGAAACCAAGACGCAGCGCTTGCATCCCCTACTGACGGCCAGGGGAACAATCTCTACGACCTCAAATGATTGTACGGCACATGTGGTCAGGAAGGGGTGCTTGGCGTGTCGTTTCCACCGGTTTTGGCCCACCACGCTTGGCGCGACATGCGAACCACGCCCGTCCCCGAGCGCCGACGTTCCGAGCGTTTCCAGCCTCCTGGCCCGCGCAGCGGAACGACAAGCTATCCGACTGCTGGGCACAGCGTGTCGCTGGGGCCGCCGCCGACGCTAATGAACAATTTCTGCCCGTGTGGCGCACAACGCAGGGACCAGATCACACAACACATGATCCACAGCGCCTATCGCGCAGCACGCGCACACATGCGAGCGCAGTACACACGACACTCACATTGCAACGCAGCGCACAACACATGCACACCGTCATGACACACGACCGTGGCACACCAGTGTGCCAGACCAGATAAGCACAGCAGCCCCTATCAGCACGGCAGGCCGCCCCAGCACGGCAGACCATACCGGCACGGCAACCCAGCATCAGCAGAACACAGCAGAACCCAGGGGACCACACCACTACGGCACGCGAGGGGCACGGGGGAGGGACGGCCACCTCCTGCGCGTCGAGCTCGTCAGCAGCGGGCGGGCTGCGGGCAGCCGCCGACCCCGTGCGTGGACGTCCAGCGGCGGCCGCGGCGTCCAGTGGGTCGGCAGTGGCGGCGATCAGCCGCCCAGAGGCCACGCAGGCGTACGGAATGGACGAGGCTGGCCTGGCCGACCGGGCGGGCGAGGCGGAGGCGGCGGAGGAGCGCAAGCGACGGCGCCTCGTGGGCCCCCTGAATCGTCAGTTTAGGGGTGGAGAGCGTGCGGCGGCGGTTGGCCGCCTGTACGAGGACTTCGCGTGCTGCCCGCCCACCTCGGGCTGCAGCACCCTTCAGCCAGCCCTCGCAGAACCAAAAGGAGTCTGGCGAGGTGTGCGCTGTCGCGCTCTGTCCACCCCCAGATGTGTGGCTCTGTTGGGGCTCTGAGGTTCTGGCCCTTTCCCCGCTGGGTCCCCTGAGTTGGTGGGGGCCGTGGAGGTCCTAGGGTGTGGCCCAAGACGGCCTACCCTCCTCTCTTTCTTTTTTTCTCTGGCTTCATGCCCCCACAGCTTCAGCTTCAGCACCGCACGCGAGCACAATAAACCAGCACGGCAGACCGCCCCGGCATTCACAGTCACGCGTATCACGGGCGTGCGCAACGCACAAACCTACTATGCACGCATACGCAATCACCGCCAAGCACGCACGCCGTCAACCATGCACATCTTTCTCATTGACACGCGCTCACACGCATAAGTTTTGCACGCGCCCACACGCGCATCCACACGCGCGTACCTGAGCGCACGCGCACCACGACCGTGCAGACACACACTTTCAATAATTCTTCATGGGTCCAATGAACACTAGCGGTGTTTCCTTGCCTGGCCAGGCTGGTGTCGTTCCCAAGCTCTTTTTGTTTCTCTTGCTGCTGCTGCTGCTGCTGCTGCTGCTGCTCTGGGCACTGCTCTTGCCGACCTGCTTTGTCGCTGTACCCTGAACGAGGTAGAAGGCAGTCTAATATATCTCCAATCAGCACTTGCCTTTTTTTCGCATGCCCCTCGACGTTTACTGTCAGTGCCCCAGGTCGACGGCTGGTTCTTCTCGGCAGCGAAGGTGAACATGGAGGAGCCGCGACCCTCTGACGATGCGAGCCGCCTGGTTCTATGGTGGGCAGCTCTGGCGAGGCACTGCCCCAAGGCTCAATGGGGGCCAGTCCCGAGGACGAACCCTGAGTCCTTGACTGCCGTGGGGGCTCCCCCTGGTTGGTCCAATTGTGGCCATCTGTCTGCGCTTGGGCGCCGTCTCCCCATGCCCGAAATTGCACCGCCTAGCTGACGCATCCCCCTAGGCCCCAGCGAGTGGACGCGGGCAGGAGGGCTTGATGCTAGAGATCTAGAGAACAACAGGTTGCATTAGAGCTATTTGGTGTCCGTCCTCTCATCAACAGGCTAGCCAGGATCCCGCAGAAAGAGAGTGCCCACTCGAGAGGGATTCGCTTTCCAGCGGGTGAAGGTTGGCCGCCAGAGTGGAGTCTTCGCAAAAGGCGGCGCCGTGCAAATCCCACGAGGAGGTGTTGATGCCAGTGCTTTCGTGCATCATCATGCCAAACACGTGGCACCCGTTCACCCGTAGAGCCGCGCTCCCCATTCACCTCAACGCCCTCTTCCCCGCACTCGCCGACCCCGACCTCCTCTTCAGGGTTGCAACATCTGGGAGGTGGAATTTCGCATCGGCCCTGGTATGTCCTCGGTCGAAAGCTAATCTAATTTGGCCTGCTGGTCCCACTCACAATCCCGCTCATTATTTAAGATACCCAATGTTTTAGCAATTCCGGTCAACAGTCATCCAGGCTTAATTGCTCTCAATGGTCCCGTGGGGCTGGGAGACCTCCCATGGGATTGCCTCCGAATCCTTTGTTTTTTCCCAACCCTCCTGCGTTGGGTACTCGTTTTGAATAGAGCACTGCGGTCTCCACCTTCCTTCCTTCCCGCCTCCTCCTCCTCTCTTCCCTCTCCCTCTCCTCTCTTGCTTCCCTTCTCCGCCTCTCTTCGCTCCTCCTCTTCTCTCTTGCATCCCTTCTCCTCTCTTCGCTCCTCCTCTCTTGCTTCCCTTCTCCTCCTCTCTTCGCTCCTCCTCTTCTCTCTTGCCTTTTACGTCATCCCTTTGGGGCTGCGATCTGTGAAACTGTCGCCACTTTCGAGGGCTGCTGGTGGGTCCAGCGGAGTGAGGCACCACGCAGATTCAGATTAGACCTCGCCATCCCTGGGGGGCTGCGATCTGCGAAACTGTCGTCACTTTCGAGGGCTGCTGGTGGGTCCAGCGGAGTGAGGCACCACGCAGATTCAGATTAGACCTCGCCATCCCTGGGGGGCTGCGATCTGCGAAACTGTCGTCACTTTCGAGGGCTGCTGGTGGGTCCAGCGGAGTGAGGCACCACGCAGATTCAGATTAGACCTCGACTTTCGAGGGCTGCTGGTGGGTCCAGCGGAGTGAGGCACCACGCAGATTCAGATTAGACCTCGCCGTCCCGATCTGCGAAACTGTCGTCACTTTCGAGGGCTGCTGGTGGGTCCAGCGGAGTGAGGCACCACGCAGATTCAGATTAGACCTCGCCATCCCTGGGGGGCTGCGATCTGCGACACTGACGCCACATTCGAGGGCTGCTGGTGGGTCCAGCGGAGTGAGGCACCACGCAGATTCAGATTAGACCTCGCCATCCTTGGGGGGCTGCGATCTGCGAAACTGTCGCCACATTCGAGGGCTGAGGGTGGGTCCAGCGGAGTGAGGCACCACGCAGATTCAGATTAGACCTCGCCATCCTTGGGGGGCTGCGATCTGCGACACTGACGCCACATTCGAGGGCTGCTGGTTGCGAAACTGTCGCCACATTCGAAGGCTGCTTTGGGGGCCAGCGGAGTGACGTCCTACGGGGACTCAGATTAGACCTCGCCAGCGCTGGGGGGCTACGATCTGTGAAACTGTCGCCACTTTCGAGGGCTGCTGTGGGGCCCACGAAACTGTCGCCACTTTCGAGACCTGCTGCGGGGTCCAGCATAGTGACGTCCTACGCGGACGCAGATTGGACCCGTCATTCTACTTCGATTATCCCGCATCTGCGATCGACTGTATGTGTGCGAGGAACTAGACATGGAGTGGTCTGGCACTGACTGACGTCAAATCGTTGTGTGCCAGTGTCTCCTGGGGTGTTGCCTGATGTGGATGCAGCTCGTCGGCGCTGCGACTCGAGCTGGCGGTCGTCCTTCGGACCCGCAGAAACATCTGCTGAGCTCGATGAGCTAGGGGAACTACAGGAAAGAAGTGCAGGAAACGGAGGCCGGTCATGCACTCGCCGATACCTCGTTGCTCTGTCATCGTCTTTGCTGTTGCATGATCCTTATCTGGCCTGCCGGCGCCGCGGCTCGAGCTGGCGGTCGCCCTTCGGGCCCGCGGGAACATCTTCTGAGACAAGTGGACGCCGCCGCCTTACTTGCAGGCAGCGCATTGCATTCGCGGACAGCAGCATGGCAGACCGCAGTGAGATCCTCAGTCGCGTGGTGTTGCCAAGCCTGGTGGAGACGCGCGTGATCGACCTGAAGTCCCAATCGCGCGTGCACTGTACCTGCGTGGCGTTCAGGCACGCGCGTGATGCTGCTCGCTCCGCGTTCAACCAGTACGTCGCCAGTGCAACTTTGGACGATGGACAACCGATTGATGATGCGCGACCCCGGCCTTGAGTTTCTTTCCCGCGGGCCGCCCGCAGACCTGGCGGCGCGCCTGCGAGCGTTCAGCTCCCGCGCTGAAATGTGCGGGAAGGAGGCGGAGAAGCTAGCGGGCGAGCTACGCCTCGCTCGTTCCTTGCACTCTAAACAAGTTTTATCATGTGGAACTCTGCGACGACATGGCGCAGGCAGCGCTGCGGGTTTAGCTCGCGCTTGAAAAACGCGGCAGTCTTCTGTCTCCTCCCGCCACTTTCATCGTCGTCCTATTCCCCGCCTCACCTTCTCCATGCATGCTGCTGCTTCCGCGATGGCCTTTCGCCCCCCCCGCCCTCCATTCCATCCCTCTCCTACCCCTCGTTCCCGTACCCGTTCTTCTTCGATCCTGGGGCCTCAATCCTCGTTCTTTCGATCGTCGTCCTGTGAATCGTGCAACGCATGCGCATCCCATGTAGCTTGCGCAGCAAATCGCCGCGTCTACACTGTCGTTGTTCCTGCTAATGTCGGCCTACTCCTCTTGCCACTTGATGCACGTGGGTTGGGTACGTCGCAGGGTAATTCCCAACCCTCCTGCTTTGGGTACTCGTTTTGAATAGAGCACTGTGGTGTGGTCTCCACCTTCCTCCTCCTCCCGCCTCCTCCCGCCTCCTCTTCTCTTCTCTTGCCTTTACCCCTCCTCTTCTCTTCGCTCCCCCTCTCCTCGCTTGCTTTTTACTTATCTTTACCTCGCCATCTCTGGGGCGCTGCGATCTGTGAAACTGTCGCCACTTTCGAGGGCTGCTGGGGTGGCCAGCGAAATGACGCCCCACGGGGACTCAGATTAGACCTCGCCATCCCTGGGGGGCTGCGATCTGTGAAACTGTCGCCACTTTCGAGGGCTGCTGGGGTGGCCAGCGGAGTGACGCCCCACGGGGACTCAGATCTAGACTGTCGCCATTTTCGAGGGCTGCTAGGGTGGCCAGCGGAGTGACGGGGGACTCAGATTAGACCTCGCCATCTCTGGGGGGCTGCGATCTGTGAACTGTCGCCACTTTCGAGGGCTGCTGGGGTGGCCAGCGCAGTGACGCCCTACGGGGACTCAGATTAGACCTCGCCATCCCTGGGGGGCTGCGATCTGTGAAACTGTCGCCACTTTCGAGGGCTGCTGGGGGGCCCAGCGCAGTGACGCCCTACGGGGACTCAGATTAGACCTCGCCATCTCTGGGGGGGCTGCGATCTGTGAAACTGTCGCCACTTTCGAGGGCTGCTGGGGGGGCCAGCGCAGTGACGCACCACTGGGACTCAGATTAGACCTCGCCATCCCTGTGCGGCTGCGATCTGCGAAACTGTCGCCACTTTCGAGGGCTGCTAGGGTGGCCAGCGCAGTGACGCCCTACGGGGGCTCAGATTAGACCTCGCCATCCCTGGGGGGCTGCGATCTGTGAAACTGTCGCCACTTTCGAGGGCTGCTGGGGTGGCCAGCGCAGTGACGCCCTACGGGGACTCAGAATAGACCTCGCCATCCCTGGGGGGCTGCGATCTGTGAAACTGTCGCCACTTTCGAGGGCTGCTGGGGTGGCCACCGCAGTGACGCCCTACGGGGACTCAGATTCGACCTCGCCATCCGTGGGGGGGCTGCGATCTGTGAGACTGTCGCCACTTTCGAGGGCTGCTGGGGTGGCCAGCGCAGTGACGCCCTACGGGGACTCAGAATAGACCTCGCCATCCCTGGGGGGCTGCGATCTGCGAAACTGTCGCCACTTTCGAGGGCTGCTTGGGTGGCCAGCGGAGTGACGCCCCACGGGGACTCATATTAGACCTCGCCATCTCTGGGGGGCTGCGATCTGCGAGCCTGTCGCCACTTTCGAGGGGTGCTGGGGTGGCCAGCGGAGTGACGTCATACGGGGATTCAGATTAGACTTCGCCATCTCTGGAGGGCAGCGATCTGTGAAAATGTGTCATTTCCCGCGGGCCGCCCGCAGACCTGGCGGCGCGCCTGCGAACGTTCAGCTCCCGCACTAAGTGTGCAGGGATGAGGCGGAGAATCTAGCGGGCGAGCTAAGTCTCGCTCGCTTCTTGCACTTACTATAAGCAGGTTTGAGCCTGTGGAACGCTGCGACGACATGGCGCAGACAGCGCTCAGTGTTTAGCGTGTACCTGAAAACGCGGCGCTTTTCTGTCTCCTCCCGCCACCTCCATTGTCGTCCTATTCCCCGCTTCGCCTGCTCCATGCATGCTGCTGCTGCCGCGATGGCCTTTCGCCCCCCCATTCCATCCTCCTCCTGCCCTTCGTTCCCGTCCCCGTTCTTCTTCGAGCCTGGGGCCTCGATCCTCGTTCTTTCGATCGTCGTCCTGTGAGTCGTGCAACGCATGCGCGTCCCGTGTAGATTGCGCAACAAATCACCGTGTCTACATTGTCGTTGTTCCTGCTAATGTTGGCCTACTCCTTTTGCCACTTGATGCACATGGGTTGGGTACGTCGCAGGGTGATTCTCCCCGTTCCCAGTCGCGAGGCACGAAATGCGGGCACATGAGAATTGCGCATTCCGAGCCGACGCGTCATTGGGCATACCTATCGTGTCGACGCGGCGGCGACCCAGGAATGGGCTCCGTGCCGAAAAGGGGGGTGGGATTTGCGACCCGTTCGGCCGCCGGGCGGGCTCGATCTTGGATCCTCCGATGGGCCAAGTGGGGTCACACGCCGGATGGGCTCAGATACGGGGTCTGGGGCGGGAGGGAAGCTAACCAGGGCGTTTCAGCAAGGGCCTCGCCTTCCAGGACCCCTGGCGGATCTGGAGTTTGTCTTCCACCAAAGGTAAGCCTCTGGGGGAGTACTCGGCCCTAGAGGAAACTTCATCCATGGAAGGGGCCGAGGTCACCTGGGACCGCGGGCTGAACAGAAAAGCAGTCAGCAGTCTGTCGCAGGTTTGGGTGCGAGGGGTCGGGAAGTTGGCAGGTCGGCTGAAGTGGATCGAAGGTGGCTCCACTGGCAGAAGCTCGGCGGAACCCAGCGGCAATGCAAGTTTGCCCGCAAAGGAGGCCAAATTCTGTGCATCCTGGGTGTCTGCAATCCGCCAGTTGAGGACGGGGGACGGTGCAAATGAGGGGCAGTGTTGATGCAGCAGGTGTGCAGGAGTAGTCAGGGTCAGGAGAGGCACGCGTGAAGAAGCTGAATTTGTGCAGTGGAAGGGGTAGGTGCAACTGGTGGAAGAGGCCGGGCACAAGGAGGGGTAGCGTAAGCTGGTGTTGGCCTGCTTACCTCACTGCTGTAATCCACAGCCCCCACGCGCGCGCAAAGATGCGCCAGCAGACGCAGGCGCCCACGTGCGCGCATGCACGCGTCCAAACATGCGCACACTCTCTCTCTCTCTCTCTCTCTCTCTCTCATTCTTTGACACTGACTATTGCCCCCTCTCTCTCTCTTTTTGTTCTCTCTCTCTCTCTCTCTTTCGCTCTCTCTCTCTCTCTCTCTCTTTCTATCTCTCTTGCCTTCTCACTCTCCCTCCCTCCTCCTTTTCTTATTCTGTAGGAGGCCAAAGTCTGCATCAACAAGATCATGGGCTTCCACTGCTGGAAGCAGCTCAACCAAGAGACAGGGGACCCGCCCTCTCGAGCTCTCGCCAGCCCATCTATGAGATGCCCGGCCCGAGCGGCGCCGGGCATTGCATGCAATGAAGCGCGGGGACCGAGAGCAGGGTCGGGACCTCCGCTCCTGACGGGCGGCGGGCGTGGTCTCAGGCATTCGGTCTTGTGTTATCTGCCATTCGTTGGCGCAGACTAGCGTTGCGAGGATGCCCCCCCATTTACCTCGGTCCCGCCTTCATCTTCCGATCTCCCTCTCCTTCTGTGCTCACATGTGGTCGCATCCTCTCTGTCTCTCTCTCTCTCTCTCGTTACTTGCCTCTCTCACTCTATATTCCCCTCTTTTTTTTTTTTTTTTTTTTTTTCTCTCTCTCTCTCTCTCTCTCCCTCTCTCTCTCTCTTCCCCTCCCTCCCGCGTGAAATGTCGAGGACGCCCTCGGCGCATCGCCAGCCGCTCCCTGGTAGTTTGGCGGAGTTGGCGGAGTTGACGCGTCGCGTATCCAACAAGTCTTGACGGGATCATCTTGGAGGCTTCTGTGGGGGCTTCTCAGAAGCCCCTTGGGAGTCAGGGTGCCCTCTGCGTGGCCCTCTACAGCTTCCGGGGGTCTCCTGGGAGCCTGTTGGGGGCTCGGGGGCTGTCTTGATCGCGCAAGTTCTGCCGCATTCTCTCGGAGAGGCTCGGCATAATCAGTTTGGCATATTCGGGGCAGGTCTTGCAGAGGTCTGTGGGGTCCTCCTTGAGCGTCGTTGGGCCGTCTTGGGGGCGTCTTGCGCTGCCTCGGGAGCGCCTTGGGCTCTCAGAAATCTTCCCGAGGCCATCTCAAACAGAACAGCCTCGGAAGCAGACCTCATCGACATCCATTTGTAATTGTTCCATTGTTTGGTCTCCGAGGGAGTCGCTGGGTGCCTCCTTCAAGGCAACTCGGGCTCCCCCGGGGTGCTCCGCGGGCATATTTTGTAGGACCCCTCGGTGTCTGACTGGGCCGTCTTGGGCTGGTTTGGGGGAGTTTGCAGCCGTCTTGGTGCGGTCTTGATGCGGTCTTTGGGCTGTTGAGCCGCGGGCAAGTGCGTCCGGCCGCGGAGGCGAGTGGGAGCCGCGGGAGGCCGTTGGCAGAGCAGCCCCCCGAAGCTTCTGGTATTTTTGAGCCAGGAGCCAGCAGATGCTTGTTGAGCAGATGGGCAATGTGATCTCGCACGGCTGTCGTCGCAGGCTGAGCCATCTAGTGACTGCAGTTTGAGGCCCATCTTGGGCCATCTTCGTTCCTCTCGCGGGCATCTTGGGGCCTCTCGGGCCACCTTTGAAAAATTGTGACGGTATTGGGTGTGACTTTGGGCCTCTGGGGCCATCTTTGGGGCCTCGGCCTCGTGGGGGCATCTGGAAGCCATCTTGGGGCCTCGTTGGGCCATCCTGGGCGATCTCAGCGGCATCCTGGGGCCACTTTGGGGCCTGTGCAATATCGGGGACCCTGTGAGCCTTCTTGAAGCTATCTTGGGGCATCGTAGAAACAATGCCTGGATTAGGCAATACTACATTCAAGATAAGATAGTTCGCAATGGTGATATCTCATTGCTGAAAAACTTGTCGTTGATTCCCTCCAGCCAGTGCCCGTTGTGTTATGTTCCATTGAAGTGCCTCTTCCAGGGCTCGCACCTGCTTTTCTACAAGGGAAAGTCCTGAGCCTAAATCTGCGGTCTTGGCCCCGGAACAACAACAACAACGACAGCAACGCCAACACTAACACCACCAACACCAACAAACCACAACCGCAGCCACAACCACAACCACAACCACAACCATAACAACAGCAACAACAACAACGGCTTCCGCCGGATACTCCTTCACAGTGCATAAAACATCGCGCTCTCGCTACGGACGCTCTCAGGTTTTACTGGAGAATCGCTCTCTCGTACGAGACGTCCTCCAAGCGGTGCCGCGCCCTCGACACTCAGGAACCACGCTCTCGCCCTGGACTTCCTCACTATTTGCTTGGGAACCGCGCTATGGCTCGAGATTTCCTCGCGAACCGTGAATGATTAATGCTTCAGCGACCCGTTCGCCCGACCCGCCCGTAAGGGTCCGCCCGCCCGACCTGTCCGTCTGGTTCTGCCGCTTGACCTCCTGCTCCGAATCCCCCTCCTGCTAGTTTCTCTCGTGCTCTATCCTTTTCCCTCCTCACTGTCTCTTCCATCCTCCCTCCCTCCCCATGTTTTAGGGGTTGCCGACGTGGCCACTCTTTCCCTGCCCCGGTATTGTGCCTCTTGCGCTTCGCACGCTGCACCCCCTGCTTTAGCCCCAGGGTGCGGCCGTGATGCCGCCCTGTGCCCGCTGCCAGGGGTGCAACAATGGCTGGCCGCCCTGGCCGCTTCACGGCGACGCACCTCGCCATGTGAGTGCTTTCCCCTCACTCCCTCCGCCTTCGCGGCGGCCTTCGCGGCCGCCTTCGCATGTCTATCCCTCCTCCTGCAGCGGGTTCCGCTGCCCGGACCGCCTGCCTGGACCGCCTGCCCGGACCGCCTGTCTTCCTCTCCTCCTGCAGTAATTTGCGTTTCCCGCTGCCCGAACCGCCTGAGCGCGCGCGCGGACTGTTTTTGCCGCTCTGCGACGTAAAACTGTGTTAGGGGCTGCGCCATCTACGCGTGGCAGGTAAGGCAGAGATATAGCCTCAAGATTGGCACGATCGAAGACGAAGATGGCGGGTTTCGAGGGCTCAGAGCGAACAGTCTTCACATCATTGTTGCTACGTTTCTCCAAACAGTGCTTGCACTTCGGGGTTCTTTCTTGTCCTAACCATCTCGGGATGAGTGGCGGCTTTTACGAGCGGTGCCAACCGTCGCCGCCGTCGCCGTCGCCGCTCGGGGCGAGTGGCGGCTTTTGCGGGCAGTGCCGCCCGTCGCCGCCGTCGCCGTCGCGTGAATTCTTCTTTCTTAAAAGAGAATGAATAAACTCTGCCCCGCCCACCCCTGAATCTGCCCCATCGCCCAACGTAATTTTCAAGTCGCACCATCGGAGCCCAGCCGGTATCCGCCCCCCCCCGCCATCCCCTGCGACAAAGTCTGCGCGCGCAGCCGTTTTTCAACAGTTTTCAATTTCACACGCGCGCGTCGTCGCGCGCGCATGCCGGAGCCATTCAAAACAATTCGTCTGCACGCAGATGCCAAGGCCGAGTGTCCAAACAAACTTGTAACAACGCACTATATCACAACACGGATTCCCAAACGACGTTTGCGTGCGTTCTTGCGAATTTGCAAAGCAAAACATAGGTTGTTCGAACAGATTTTGTACCATGCTATCAAAAGGGCTTCGCGCGCGCATAACGAAGTCGTTTGAACGCCCTTGCATGCGTGCTGTCGCGAGAATCATTTTGCCCAGAATGGGGCGAAGTGCGCGCGCGCGTTGTCGGGCGCGCATGCCAGGGTCAGTCGCAATCTTCGGTTTCGCAGCGGTTTCAAAAGCCGAGTGTCCAACATACATAGAAAAGCGCATGGTTTCGCTTTCCCAGTTTTCAAAAAAAAACTCATTGCGTTGGTGTTTGAATCCTGTCAGTGAATTCTGCCAAACGGGCCGCTCGCGCCGCGTGCCGAATTCATTCGCGCGCCCTTGCGCGCGTGCTGGGTGGGCACGACCCATGCCAAATAATACCATGTGGGTCGCTCTCGCGCGTCGGCCGCGCGCGCATTTCGAACTCCTTTCAAACGTGTCATCGCCGACGCGAGGGCGCCGCCATCGTTGTCGGCGCGGTCAGCATCGGCGCCCGCTCTTGCCGCGCTGCTGTCATCGTCAACATCGCCACAAGCATCGCTACTATCATCATCGCGCCCACCGTTGTCGACGTCGCCGCGATGCCGCGCCCGCCCAAGCCGCCGACTCGCATTGAAGTGCCCGTTGGGATGTGCCCAGCGGTCAGCGCCACCGCGGCCGCGTCGGCCGCGCGGAACTAGCTGGCCGCTGCGCGCGCATGCTTGGGTTGGCGCGGCCGCAGAGATGCGCCAGCCAACGCCGAGCAGTTATCGCAATCGCAGCCGCATGGGTTTGGCAAACCAAGTTGCGGGCGGGTGGGTGGGGCGTCTGCAAGGGCATGGGAGGTGGCCAGGCGCGGTGCAGGGCAGTCACCTTTCCTTCCCCAAAGATGAAAAAAAAAAAAAAAAAAAAAAAAAAAAACGATCCCCCCCGTGATTATATGTTTCCTTTCTGTGTCGCAATTTACGCGTGATTCTGCCCCGCCGCCCATCCGAATTTTGAATTCACGCCGCCCCAGCCGAGCTGGCATCGCCCCCCCCCCCCCGCCCCGCCACCCCTCGTAACAAATATTATGCGCCCACACTCGTTGACCAAACATCCGCAGTTTCCAAGGACCCCTTGCAGCAAATTGGACGGAGTGCGCGCGCCAGCGTCGTCGCGCGCGCCTGCCGAAATCTCTTAAAACCTCAGGTTTTGCACGGAGTTTTCAACCGAGCGTTTGCGCTGCAATTTTTTAAAACATGTGCGCAGAGTTCTGCGACTCGGAATTGAAACACTGCGCGCGCGTTTTTTTTTTTTTTTTTTTTTTTTTTTTTTTTTTTTTTTTTTTTTTTTTTTTTTTTTTTTTTTTTTTTTTGCGAGGTCGTATGCAACCATGCGTATTTCAACATATGTCAGAAAGTGCGACCAGACAGGCTTCGCGCGCGCGTCGAACTCGTTCGAACGCCTCTGCAGAAGATAGGGCGAAATTCGCGCGCGTCGTCGCGCGCGCCGAGATCCTTCGAGCGCCTTCTTTTCCATATTGGCGTCGCAACCGAGCGTCGATAACAAGCAAACATAAGCGCAGAGGGTTCCGCAACAGCAGTTTGCAAAAAAAGCGTGCGCTCGCGGCGTTCTGAATTCTTAGAAGACCATCGCTTTTTCAACATTGCCATGGAGTTCTGCCAAACGGGCCCCAATGGCAGCGCCCAGACAGACGGGCGCGGGACTTCGCCGGCGACGGCTTGGGCCCCAAGGTTTACCGCCTGGCAGACCCAGCGATGCTCGACGGACAGATCGCCGT